CTCACTCGCTCAATGTATCACCGCCTATCTCTTCTACAGTGTGCATTGTTCACTCACTCGCTCAATGTATCACGGCCTATCTCTTCTACAGTGTGTATTGTTCACTCACTCGCTCAATATATGACGGCATATGTCTTCTACAGTGTGTATTGATCACTCACTCGCTCAATATATGACGGCATATGTCTTCTACAGTGTGTATTGTTCACTCACTCGCCCAACATATGACGACCTTTCTCTTCTACAGTGTGTATTGTAAACATGCATTATGAATGAGACATGTTCCAGTTATGTCCTTGGTCACCTGGCTAGGTACACATGACACAGATCTCGGCCTATCCCACAGTCACGATTTGATTACAAACCACAGAAATACGAGTGTAAAGCGCAAGTCACACTACATACGACACCTTGTTATCTGAGCACGTGTGTCACTGTTGTCTGAGGTACCATAGTATCTTCTACTGAGTTGCGTACTTCAGGTGTCAGAGACCGCTATTTGTCCCCGATTATGAACTAAGGTTAAACAGAGAACTCATTCATGATTATATCTGACAACACACGATCTGGTATGGTTTGTTTGTTGTTTAACGCCGCACCCAGCAATATTCAGCTATATGACGCCGGTCTGTAAATGAGCGAGTCTGGACCAGACAATACAGTGTTTGATATCATGAGCATCGAACCACGCAATTGGGATATGGTGGCATGCATCAACCAAGTCAGCGAGCCTGACCACCCGATCCCGTTAGTCGCCTCTTACGACAAGCATCGTCGTCTTTTATGGCAAGCATGGGTTGCTGAAGATGTGTTCTACCCCGGATCTTCAGGGGTCGCATGGGTTGGTTAGAATACGGAGGTTTGATATGGTTTAAAAGCCGCTTTGAACATTATTTTAGATATAGCAGCTTCATTATAGAGGAAGGTTGGTTGTATCTCTGTAGCCAAATCGCTCAGGCAAAATGGATGTTACTGTAAACAACTAATCGGACTCAGACATGAGGAGAAAGTTTACGAGATCAGATTAATCTTGTACTGTTATCTTCACCTTGTCTGACTAAACGAGTCCGTTGCCCCCATTACGAAACTCAGTACTGGTGTTGTGCTTCCATTGGGCTACAAGGTTTGACAACGGCGCATTTCTTTGACTTGAACCTTTAAATTGGTAAACCGCATTCGTGATCTGGTGGTTGAGCGTCCGCCCGGAGAGAAGGCCAGGAGTTCTTTGCCCGGCCGCGTCTTACCAAAGGACGTTAAAAGATAGTTTTTGTTGCAACCCTACCTACACACACACACACACACACACACACGCACGCACAATGGAAACCTAAACCTTCAACAGATAACCTACATGACCCTCTGTCTTACAGAAGGTTAACGTTTACTAGTTGGACTTACAAGATGTATTAGGGGGCACGGTAGGCCCAGTCGTCTAAGGCGCCGTGATTCGCTGTGCAGAGTTGCGTCCCTTGGATTGTGGGTTCGAATCCCGGTTCGCCCCGAATATGTTTCTAGGTTTGTCAGCACCATGTCTGTTTCACCGAAGTGGTAAACGTCTGAGACCTGCATCACTTCGGGCTTTCCTCCCACATTAAGCTGACACGCCGTAATATAACTGAAATAATGTTAAAAGCGGCGTTAAACCCAACTCACTCACTTCAAGATGTATTGCAATATAATAAACAACAGACTGACAGCTGTTAACGCTATTCAAAACAGAGCCATGCTTTTTTTCATTGGACTATTCAAGTACGCTCCCAACGCAGCAATCGAAGGGGGCATAGGATGGACCCCGCCCTGTGTCCGACAGTTGGAAATGACCCTAAAGTTTTAAAGAGACTCTACAACATTCAACAGGAGATTTTATGTAAAGTGTTTTATGGGATAATACGAAAGCAGAGATCAACAAGACCACTCGGAATAAACGAGTCGACAACATGGTGAAGCGCTATTATTTCTCTGTACGACGTGTTGATATGTTGACGTGGGTATGAATTGTATTCTATACATATCTATTGAACAGTAACTCGTTCATAAAACGGGGCAGTCGGGTTGCCAAGTGGTGAAATCACTCGCTCGTCACGCCGAAGATCCAGATACGATTTCCTCGTGGGTATGATGTGTGAGCTCGCTGACTTGGTTGATGCATGTCATCCATCCCAATTGCGTGGATCGATGCTCATGATATCAATCACTGGATTGTCTGGTCCAGACTCGCTTTTTTACAGACCGCCGTCATATAGCTGGAATATTGCTGAGAACGGCGTTAAACAGAAAACAAACAAACAAACAAACAAAGAAAAGTCCTAAAAGCGGCGTAAACCCACACACCCACTCACGACAGACGGTGTCCCATTCTAAGGACACCATCTGTTATGACAAATTCCTGATTTTGGCCTCATGTGACAGTCCGATCAGTGCGACCTTTAGCGTCACGTGGTCGGTCGCAGTAAGTGACAGAATTAGTGATAGGTAAATTAATGTCTTACACCAACTCGCTTATCTATGCTTTAATACACATCAATTATGTTAGACTTTCCCACACGCATGAGGTCCCATTGAAAAAAACATAGGTCACACAACACAGTAACACAACATAGACATTATATTTTGCTCCTTGAAATCAAGCGTGACCGTCATTTCGGAGATTAACCTGTTAAGAAATGTCATATATAATTATCACGCAACTGTCGTCATGTATTATGTGAAACATAAATAGTTAAAAAAACTACATCTAACTTCTCAAACTCTAAACGGTATTGAATAAAGGAGATGAGATGTTTAATAATCTTTTATTATTTATTACGGTGAACAATTGACTTGCCATTGCGTGCGTTTGTAGCGGGCGCGACCGGTGGGGCAGGATACGCTCATTTTTTAGCGAGCACCTGGTATCATCACTATTTGATAGTAGTTCATCTACACATGCTCATGATATAGTCGGAATCGTACAATCGACTCTGCCGTTAACAGATATTTCTTAAGAACATGGAAAGGGTCTTGTCGTTTTATCATATTGGTTGAACACAACACACAGATATATGCATAAACTGCAAGTGATTCCATGACATTTTATTGGCTTATCTATCAATTTGTTTGCATTTATGTTTCCACTAAACATAAGACCACGCTCACGGCCTCCTTTCATGTGACGTGTTTCATTATTGCTCTGAACGATATCACTGATTGCCACGGTATCGTTGTCTACATGTTTTTGTGTTAAATACTTAAATCACGAATGATCAGATGCAAAAATGGTCTGTGAACTTATTATTGTTGACGTATTTATTTACAAGAATTGACTTTAATATTGATTTCGCGTTTTTAGAAGTATTAACGTAAAAACACTTATAACATGTGTTATATCAGCTTGACGTCGGAGGAAATCCCGAAATGATGCAGGTCTTAGACATGTACCACTTTGTTTCTGGTTCGTCTAAGGAACGCAACTCTGCACATAGAATTGCAGAGCCTTAGACGACTGGGCCATCCGCGTATCTTCACCCCCTCCCAACCCCTAGATAGCCGAACACGAAAAAAAGACTCAACAATAAGATGTATTTAAACTCTCTGAAAGTTCGCAAATCGTGGGACAGTGAGAAGTATCTGATATTTTTATTGTTGTAAATCTGTTATAAAACAAGATAAAAAAATTATGTTAAAAAGAACCACGAAACGAACTCAACAATGTTGGGAAGTAAACAGACGAAGTAAAATGCTGGTCAAAAGAAAGCTTACACTTGAAAATTGGATTTGACCCCAAGATTACAAACGTTATCAAAACGTTACTGGGCCCCAATTTTAACGCATCAGTGACAAACTTTGTGTCAGATGCAATTCCCTTTTTTGACTTTTTTTAACCATATGTATGTAGGGTCACTCGTACATCGTAACAGTTACATGTGTCCACGGCATTGCCTCATTCTTACACCTTACACAGCTCAAGTGTCCACTGTATGGCGCTATACATACATTGTAACAGTTACACGTATCCACGTCATTGCCTCATTCTTACACAGCCCACTGCATGGACACATTCCTACATTTTATACATTTCAAGTGTGCACTGTGGAGAAGATTCCTAAATGAGCATATTTCACAGTATCACATATCTATTGGAGTGGTAACTTCTATATGTCCACTGTAGACGTCAGTGCTATTTAATGAAAATATCGTTCCTTCATCACACACCTCTTCAAGGTATAATTGGCTGCTAGTATGTCTGAGACGATACCTCTCTCTCGGTATATATGAGATATATTATTATAATATGCACAGCGTGGATAAATTATATCAAGTTATGATTGGTGTGGTGAAATGTGGTTTATCGTCACGTTCAAGATCATTGAACATACTTGTATTTTATTGTGCTGCATATTTTGAAGCAGTTACCTAACAAATGCTCGGTTCCAAACTGAAACATACATACACACACACGCGCGCGCGCGCGCACACACACACACACACACACACACACACACACACACACACGTACAGAGACGCATGCACGCACACATATACAGATGCAAGCACACACACACACGCGCGCGCACGCACGCACACACACACACACACAAACACGCACAGAGACGCACTCAGCACACATATACAGATGCAAGCACACACACACATGCGCGAACAAACACACACACACACGCACACGCGCGCACACACACAAACACGCACATACACACAAACACACACACACACAAACAAAGACGCCAGCACGCACAAGAACGCAAGCAAGTACACACGCACGCACACACAAATACAGTATCAAATGATTGGTCCCTATTATATTAGTGTTACGTCCTTTTGTGCGACTGGAGTGTGACCACTAATGGATGTCTGAGAATATATTCCACCACAGCTACCACCTTTAATGTGTTAAGACTTACATATTTAACAAAACATGGCAATATACCACTTATATAAGGACCTACGTTTTATAGTTCCAAAGGGTCATGTACGTATGTATAACAAGTGTTTCCTACAGGGAACCAATCAGCTCGACCCACAATACACAGAAACCGCCGCACCTATATCCGAACTTCTTTTATAACCCTTTGACACGTTTTCTCTTCCTTTACCTTTGATCGACTCGTCCATCCACTATGCTTCGTGCTATTGTCATTGCCGCCCTCGTAGCTGGTAAGTGAGTTAGTGAGTTGGGTTTGAACAGCACTTCAGCTTGATGTGGGACGAAAGCCACAAGTGATGGGGGTCGTTGACGGTTAACGTGTTTGTAATGCTATGCGTATGCTCTGAATGGGGATTCGAACCGCCCACTCGCGCCCCGTGCCACTCTTCTACCGTACTGATGGGTAGCCACCTACTTACGCAAGCTTGCTAAAATAAATGCCTTGCTTTGCATGATCAAACCTGCGCCTAAATTACCCATGCCCTGTTAACTTTCGTTTTTGCTCTTGGCTCCGACTTTTTGTTCAACACTCCATGCAATTCACATTCGTAGCGGAGACTCTTAAACGTCAACCAACAGAGGTCACGTGTCAAGAGGCTTACTTTTATACATGTGTAAGTTATTAGAGAAATACAAAACATGAATCCTATTCTGCCAGTTTTGAAAATAGTGACGAGGAACAATTATTATATTTTTCTTAACTGACATAAATAAGACATATGTACCACTGAAGCATCCAAGTAAATTATAAGCCAATTTACCTTCAAACGTTTGTCATTGAATGCCAAAGGTGCATTTCATGTAGCGCTTATGTCACCATGTAAATTGGCAGGTAGTAAAATTAAAAATGTCGTTCTTACAACAATCCTTGTAGGTATTTAAGACATGACAACCAGGGGAGTTAATAGAGATATTTTCAACTCGGTGATTCCCCATGAAAAGTAGTTCCGGTCACAAATCATGTAAACGTCATGAAAAGTAGTTCCGGTCACAAATCATGTAAACGTCATGAAAAGTAGTTCCGGTCACAAATCATGTAAACGTCAAAAGACGAAGTTTATACTTTGTAAACGTCACTTTTTGAAGTTTGTTGAAAAATGAACGGGTCATGTGAGCAGCAAATAAACCAATCACATCACCGGTAATTCCTTAAACTTCAACATAAAAGTTTATTTAACATTAATTTTCTAACTTCAAAATGTATCCGCAAAGATAGTTAATGGATTCTATATCCAGATAACCTAGATCGAGACTGCTGCTTGGGATTGTACACATAAGGTGATAAGAGACACGTGTAGAACCTTTACATAACACAGGTTGTCCTTTTGAGGTCATAGAAATACTCATATAGAGACACAGCGAGGTTCCATTCCAACCTGTCCCGCTAAATACACATGGCTGTCTTTGACACTTTCGATTGAATTCGTGGGGCGATGGACATACATCTGATCCACCAAATCTGCACTCCATTGTGACGAGTATCATGGTATCTAGTTCTTTGGCACATGCCATATAAAAGGTCAAGGTCAACGTCACCAGACAGATAAAAACTCACTATATGTATGTAATTACACTTTCTCAAAACGTATTCATGCATTTATCATTACATTTGGTATGTACCTTCTCTAGTATGGGGTCGTTTTTTAGAAATTATTGGTTAAGTATAGTCAAAGGTCAAGGTCACCATTACAGTACTTGTTAAACTTTGTTTTATCATTGACAGTGTCTGAGGCATACTTCCCTCTACAGACATGGAACTTTATATTTTCATGTATATTTGTAAAACCTACCACATCAAATGTTGGTTTCGTGTCAATCGTAGGTCAAGGTCGTCTTTGAGGTTATTGTGAAACATGGTTACATCATCCTCTGGGGCTATTTAAGTGAGCCCTTTAGTCGATCTATGATTGCAGCTGAAGCCATCTCAATATGTTCATTTCACGTCTATCAGTACAATTAAGGCAAATCTTGCCCAGCCTCAGTTAAATTGTGATTCTCACTGTTTTTCAGTATGTTCCTCTCAGCTGGGGGACTTCCTTGGCAGCTTCGCCTGTCGTCGCTACCAGTACAGGAACTGTGACCATGAGCGTGAACACCAAGAATGTGGTACTGATGGCGTTACTTACAGGAACCTGTGAGTCAGCGTTAAATCTCGAAACTATAGCACATGACAACGTGAGGCAACACTTCTCAATAGCAACCAAAAGAAAATGATTGCATTTGGTCAAACGCCGCTTGGAAATGTATTTCAGTCATTTTAGCTTGATGTGGGAAGAAAAACGATGTATGTTTTTGTTTATCATCACTTTTGTGAAACATACGAGCACGGCCATGATACTGACAAACCTAGAAATACAATCAGAGCGAACCGGGATTCTTACTCAGGATCATAGAATTCTGGGATGACTAAGGGGCGCAACTCTGCACATCCAATTTCAGTGAATTGGGTACCATACGTGACTCCATAAGAAATGACAACCTCAGACAGATCTTATCAAAATCAAATAGATATAAAAAGATGAACGTGCAATGGATTATTTGCAGGAATTAGAAGAACATTCATTCACTGAATAATTAGACCCGTGAAGATCCGACTTAGAATAAGTCTTCAGCAAGCCAAGCTTGCGGTAAAAGCCGACTATGCTTGTCGTAAGAGGCGACTAAAAGGATCGGGTGGTCAGGCTCACTGACATGGTTGATCACGCAATCGTATCACAATTGCGTGGATCGATGCTCATGATGTCAATCACTGTCTGGTCAGACTCGATTATTTACAGACCGCCGTCATACAGCTTGACTATTTGCTGAGTGAGGCATTAAATTCTGGCTTTCGCGAGAATATCCCTTACGGTATTTCATGCGCGAAGTGATGACGATTGTCTGTAACATCCAAAATGGCTCAGAACTAAATCATCGTTTCATGCAGGTGTGCTTTCACTAAAGTCCGATGCGGTGGGAAAAAAATTGACATCGCTTTTCGTGGTTCCTGCGACAAACGCCCAACAACGGGTGGAGCAGGTTTAAGTGGAGAGGAGGCAGTCCTCGACTACTTCTGCATCGAGTTGTCTCACGAGAAGTGCCCCAACGAGACCGAGACTCTGTGTGCAACTGACGGCAAGACCTACGCCAATTTGTGAGTAATTTGTATCAAGATAGACAAACCGATTCATTTCTTGATCCCATGGCATTGCTTTCATGGTTTGTCCTGCGTGTAGGATACAGGCTAATGTAAGAAATTAAAGGTTTAACATTTGGGCAGAAAATGCTAATTGTTAGCCTACGATTCCTTTTAAAAACCTGAGGCACAATGTTATACCCAGTATTTTAAAGAGACCCCACCTTCTCTACCAATATCAGATAACTGTTCTTTACATATATAGTAAATAAAGGCAGATCATTTAATGACCATTACCCATTCATATCCACTGCGTTGGTTCTTTGAGATGCAGCCAATATGAAGAAGATTTGGTGGTTAAAGTGAGTATGGTTTTACACCGCTTTTAGCAATATTCCAGCAATATCACGGCGGGGGACACCAGAAATGGGCTTCACACATTGTACCCATGTCGGGAATCGAACCCGGGTCTTCGGCGTGACAAGCGAACGCTTTAACCACTAGGCTACCCGACCGCCCTTGGGTGGTTAAAGTGTGTAATGTGGTTGTGTAGCGTTGACAGCATGGACGTCTTGGTATCAGTGATTGTCTGGCTGGCTGCCCTGATAGATATTGTCCACTATCGTTGTAAACACGTACTGTGAGTTTTTGTCTGAGCTAAAATCAACACAGCATCATCCTTACTTTAGTAATACTTGTGGATCGTAGATGTTTGAAATTCTGATTCGAATATATGCTTAATACAGCCAGCCAGGTACTGTTACCGCCACACTTGCTTGGATCTGGTTCCTGAATGAATCTCCATCACTGAATCTATGTTGTAGGTGCGAATACGAGAAGACAAAGTGTACCCACCGTGATCTCCACGTAGCTGATTTTGGTGCATGTTCGAGCTAGGTGAGTTCAGACCTAGCACATACTGAGAACACATACACAGTTAAGTTACTCAGCGATATCCCGTTCGCGGATCTCTGATACTATCGCCGCCACCAGTCAAAACTCCCAACCGTGATAGATGACCACAACCATGCTTGGAGTTGAACTCACAACCGAATGACCGTTATGTTTACAAAAAAAGTGACGACTGTCGTGACGCCGAATACACTTACCGCTGCTAAGTTACTTTCCTTGCTCGTCAATTTGATTTTCTATTTCATCACAACTATCATGTAATTTATATAGTAAGAATGTAAGGGAGAAGTTGGTTGATTTTCCTTAAGTCTGTAATCTCGAACCAATCTGTTTATACAAACAACAAAGTAAATTCATCTTGAAAACATGGTCAGTTGTAAACCTTTTCAAAATGAACTATGTTGGCATTCCAAAAGACATAAACAAAAGTATGAACGTTACTACATTTGGGGTTAGAGGGCAAATTTCTTGGGATTCTTGTAATGGCCGCGCCCACACTGGTGGCAGCGATGTTACCGAGAGTGTAACGAAGGTGTCACGCGCTGGGAAGGAGCTTGATACACAGTATGTAGGAATTTACTACACACAGGGTAAGAAATATCCGAGTTCATAAAAATCGTCGTATCTAGTATGACGTCATTCCTCTCTTACGTCACAACAAGTTTTGATGACACCACCAATGCCGTCCGGATGACGTTAACATTAGACGGGTGCGCGTGAAGCAATGTTTGCACTGGTGCACATTGCGATGTTTATGAACTCGGTTATTACTCACCAATGGAAGCCTAGAAGGAACTTTGTCGCGTTATCGCATTTTTGTTAATTGTGACACTTTTTGCTTGTCTTTGTTATGCGACAATGCGACCACGCGACCACGCGACAATGACCCTTCCAGGATTCCATACTGTCCCTATGGGTAAGGAAGAATTACATGCCACTTCTAAAAATCAGTGCCCCAAACCACTGACAGGCATGCTGAAAGCCTCTGATACGTGGTTAAATGATCACCGTTCAATTTAAAAATTTAGATGCCATTCTCCTCTCCGTCTCGATTCTCTGCCGAAACGGGTTCCAGTGGACGTAAACTTATACCAACCGTTGTTCTGTGGCTGCGTAGTTGATAATCGATGAGAGCACCTAGTGCAGACACCTCTCCAAGAAAAACGACAAGGGTATGTTCAAACGTATGAAATCCTAGCAGAAACATAATTCTACTGTTGATCTTTCAGATGACTGTCTTTGTCGTCTTATGCTGCACCTGGAAACGCAAAACGATTCACAAGAACTACCAGCCTTGAATAAAATCATGAAAAGGGAATCAAGTTCGTCAGCTCTTTCGTATATTTCCACAAGCTCGATGAGATGAATGTTTCACAGTTCTGGCTGACTTTTACCAGTAATATTGAAGATTTAACAATAATTTGGATGACACAACCACCAGCTTTTCAGATGAAACATATCTCCATTGTTTGTTGGTTGGTTTGTTTGTTGGCCAAAGCCACCGTCGACAATGGTCAAGATACGTCACAGTGGCCAGGAAACAATCAAGTCTGGAAAGACAACCTGTGATTGACATTATGAACAAACCGACCATTGAGTTGCCCATGGCGACAAATATAAGATCATGGGCATGTAACTAACATGAATACTTATCCAAATTTATATGCGAACAAATACAAGTATGTTTTTACTATGGCACGTTTTAACAAATATATTCCTATTGTGAGTGGGTGAGTGAGTATGGTTTTACGCCGCTTTTAGCAATATTCCAGCAATATTACGGCGGGGGGATACCACAAATGGGCTTAACATATTGAACACATGTGGGGAATCGACCCCGGGTCTTCGGCGTGACGAGCGAACACTTTAACCACTAGACTACCCCTCCGCCCCTCCTATTGATATGAACGGGTCATTTGAAATTTAACTAATCATGATGTCAGCGCACTAAGAATTTACAAGCCGAGACTCTCGGGGTTCAACATCCATGAGCAAAGTATGACAAATAGCGTTCCCGAATTTGCAAACCGTCGATTTTTGGTACGCAAAACACTTCGTCAGCAATCGTGAAATCAAATCAGAAGAGATTCACATATGTGACGATGAGTAGAGTATGATGCACACACAATGATGTAGATACGACGATGCACACGCCCTGACGCAGAGGCGATCATGCACATACGATGATGTAGAAACGACGAATCACACAATGATGTAGAGGCGATGATGCACACACGATGTTCTGGAGGCGATGATGCACACACAATAAGGCAGAGGCGACGATGCATACACGTTGATGTAGATGCGATGGTGCACAGCAATGAAGTAGAGGTGTTGATGCACACACCATGATGTAGAGGCGATGATGCACTCAAAATGAGGTAGAAGCTATGATTGATGCACACTTTATGATGTAGAGGTGATAATGTACACACACTGATGTAGAGGCGGTGATGCACATACGATGATGTAGAGGCGATAATACACACATGATGTAAAGGCGATAATGCACATACTATGTAGTGGCGATAATACACACACGATGTAAAGGCGGTAATGCACATACGATGTAGAGTCGATAATGCACATACGATGTGGAGGCGATAATGCACATACGATGTAAAGGCGATAATGCACATACGATGTAGAGGCGATAATGCACATACCATGTAGTGGCGATAATACACACACAATGTAAAGGCGGTAATGCACATACGATGTAGAGTCGATAATGCACATACGATGTGGAGGCGATAATGCACATACGATGTAAAGGCGATAATGCACATACGATGTAGAGGCGATAATGCACATACGATGTGGAGGCGATAATACACACGATGTAAAGGCGATAATGCACACACGATGTGGAGGCGATAATGCACATACGATGTGGAGGCAATAATGCACATACGATGTAAAGGCGATAATGCACATACGATGTAGAGGCGATAATGCACATACGATGTGGAGTCGATAATGCACATACGATGTTGAGGCGATAATGCACATACGATGTAAAGGCGATAATGCACATACGATGTAGAGGCGATAATGCACATACGATGTGGAGGCGATAATACACACACGATGTAAAGGCAGTAATGCACATACGATGTAGAGGCGATAATGCACATACGATGTAGCGGCGATAATGCACATACGATGTGGAGGCGATAATGCACATACGATGTAAAGGCGATAATGCACATACGATGTAGAGGCGATAATGCACATACGATGTGGAGGCGATAATACACACACGATGTAAAGGCGATAATGCACATACGATGTAGAGGCGATAATGCACATACGATGTTGAGGCGATAATGCACATACGATGTGGACGGGATAATGCACATACGATGTAGAGGCGATAATGCACATACGATGTAGAGGCGATAATGCACATACGATGTGGAGGCGATAATACACACGATGTAAAGGCGATAATGCACATACGATGTAGAGGCGATAATGCACATACGATGTGGAGGCGATAATGCACATACGATGTAAAGGCGATAATGCACATACGATGTGGAGGCGATAATGCACATACGATGTAAAGGCGATAATGCACATACGATGTAGAGGCGATAATGCACATACGATGTGGAGGCGATAATACACACACGATGTAAAGGCGATAATGCACATACGATGTAGAGGCGATAATGCACATACGATGTTGAGGCGATAATGCACATACGATGTGGAGGCGATAATGCACATACGATGTAGAAGTGATAATGCACATACGATGGAAAGGCGATAATGCACATACGATGTGGAGGCGATAATACACATACGATGTGGAGGCGGTAATACACACACGATGTGGAGGCGATAATACACACACGATGTAAAGGTGATAATGCGCATACGATGTGGAGGCGAAAATGCACATACGATGTAGAGGCGATAATGCACACACGATGGAAAGGCGATAATGCACATACGATGTGGAGGCGATAATACACATACGATGTGGAGGCGGTAATGCACATACGATGTAGAGGCGATAATGCACATACGATGTGGAGGCGATAATGCACATACGATGTGGACGGGATAATGCACATACGATGTAGAGGCGATAATGCACATACGATGTGGAGGCGATAATGCACATACGATGTGGAGGCGATAATGCACACACGATGATGTAGAGGCGACGATGCACACACTTCGGTGTTGAGGTGATGATGCACACACAATGGTGTAGAGGCGATGATGCACACACAATGGTGTAGAGGCGATGATACACACACAATGCTGTAGAAGTTATGACACATTGGCGGCCAATTTGACGTTGTCCCGGCTTCCAATAAACCTACTGCAGTATACGCCTAGACTCTTGTGAGGTATCTAATAAACTACATTTGAAACGCAAACTACAATAGAAGGAAGGGCTTAGAGACTTTGTGTAAATAACGTGTACACCTACTGAAAAAACGTTAGACTGTTTTTCCTTCAAATAATGTTTATGTCAGTTTTCATGTACTTCAAATTGTGTGAATCGCACCAAAGAATTGCCAAGGGACAAAACGCTTAATAACTATGTGGCACCAAGTAAGCACTTCATAACTTCCCACATCTGAAAACAAAACATGACAAACTATAATGAATCATACGTACATGAAAATGCCAATACGATGCCATGGCCATAATTCCTTTAACATTGGATATTGCTGGAATATGGCTAAAAGAGGCGTAAAACTATACTCACTCACTCTTGCAGCTCTGGCCATCTTATTTGAAAGATATGGTTCATTCAATCAGTGCGGCCTTCGTTGCTTGCATTTTTAAAAACAGTTTTTGTGTTAAGGCGCACTCAGCACTATTCCAGCTATATGACGGCGGTCTGTAAATAGTCGAATCCGTAGAATCGATCTACGCAATTGGGATATGATGACATGCATCAACCACGTCAGCAACCTTTACCGTTCATCCATTGTTATACGTCGCTCACCAAAATCAGCTGGATCCCCTTCAAAACGAATTCTCGCGTCATCTCACGTCACCTCAAGAAATGATAAATCTGGAGCCTTTCTGACCAAGAATCAGACGCCTTGGACTCTATGTGACGTGTGGTAAGTCGTCGATTTTCCATGATCATGTCATGTATTTATCAACAGATTTCTTAGTGGTGGCAGTTTATCTTGGATCATCTCTTCCCCTCTTAACAGCGCCAAAGCAAGGAGAGCATCATCTTCTTAAGTAGACACCATGTCCGAATGGATGGGTGTTAGAGTTATACATCCCTCATGATCAGGCTCCGATGTTTTCAGCCACTCATCACAGAAAACTGACAATCGACTGGCGCAAGAACCCACACATCCTTCATTTAGAGTGGGCGATCAAGGTTTGCTCTGGGTTTACCTGACGTAACAATGTACAGAGAGAGATATCTTATCAGAATAATAGGTCAGATTTTAATGAGATTATTGGGACGGTTTACACTATAGCCCATTGAGATTCCGGGACAGAATAGCTTCCCATAGAACAAATCATCTTTGAAGTTAACTTTATAATACAGTTCCGTTGATTACAGTGTTTGCAGCCGTGCTATGGTGATCGGGTGGTCTAGATATGCAACGCCGTTGACAAATATCTTTACATATTTGTTTCTATGTAGTTTAAGCAAATTAAGCTTTAAAACCGATGCGGGACCATACACCATAAGGGTTCACATAAACGATAAAATAGCTCCAAATGTAGAGACTCTTCGCATTCGGATAACAGGCACCTGTTCAGAACATAAGTAAAAGCTTATGATGTGACAAAGTGACAAGATGTTGAACCGTTTGGAGGTGGCGGCATATGGCTTCGGGCTGCATCATTAGCCAAGTTAGTACGTCATCTGTAGGTAGGTGAAGGCTGCATCATTAGCCAAGTCGGTACGGCCTCTGTAGGTAGGTGAAGGCTGCATCATTAGCCAAGTCAGTACGTCATCTGTCGGTAGGTGAAGGCTGCATCATTAGCCAAGTCAGTACGTCATCTGTAGGTAGGTGAAGGCTGCATCTGTAACCAAGGCAAGACAGATCCGGTAACTTTGGAAGGAAACATCAATCTCTCATGAGTAACCTCTCTATCCTGTTCTTGCAACATAATCCCCAGACCCTGTTTCAGCTAGATAACAAAAGACCCCATACAACGTCTTGCCTTGCCAGCACAATCACCAGACTCATCACAGACTTGGCACAGACCCTCAGAAAGTAATGGCGTTGAATCCCAATTCTTTTGACCAGACGTCTCACTTCTTCTGCTTATCGTCTAGTCGGGGGCATTGATGCCTGTGGTGGGCATACACAATATTGACTGACATTCCGAAGGATTAAAGGGTGGTTCTATCCATCCATCCATCCATCCATCCATCCATCCACCCATCCATCCATCCACCCTTCCATCCATCCATCCATCCATCCACCCATCAATCCATCCATCCATCCTTCCATCCATCCATCCATCCATCCTTCCATCCACCCACCCACCCACCCACCCATCCATCCATCCATCATCCATCCATCCATCCATCCATCCACCCATCCATCCATCCATCCATCCACCCTTCCACCCATCCATCCATCCATCCATTCTTCCACCCATCCATCCATCCATCCATTCATCAATCTGTTGTATTTTATTCAAAATTATGATAAATTATGCCTAATGGGAATTTCACAGTCAACAACTGTTTCAGTCTTATCATAGCCGGGACACGGGTGGCCCAGTCGTCTAAGGCGCCGCGATTCGCTGTACAGAGTTGCGTCCCTTGGGCACGCCAGAAACCTATGATTGTGGGTTCGAATCCCGGTTCGCCCCGATTATGTTTCTAGGTTTGTCAGCACCATACCCGTGCTCGTGGTAAACGTCTGAGACCTGCATCACTTCGGGCTTTCCTCACAAATTAAGCTGACACGCCGTGATATGACTGGAATACTGTTAAAAGCGGAGTGTCCAAAGAAACATACGGTGACGTGAATAGTATGGCCTCTTGGAAAGAAGACCTCCATGGACTTTTAATAAATAAGAATTACAGGAAACCTTTCTATCATGCCCATTGCTCTATGTAAATGATTATGGCCTTTCTCACGAAATACTCTGGTCATATGTTTTTCAAGCAGAAGGAGGCAGAAGTTTTTACTTACAAAAGAATATTGGGGAGGTTTGGACATAGAAGAAAATCCGAACCCCTCTCATGTGTTTAGATCCTAAACAATCCTTTACGGTCTTATAATGTCAACACATTAGGGATTGAAAATAGATCTGTAACAAAATGATAAGTCCAAACCCAAGATAACTCTGAGCCAGATGGCAGAGTACAGAGATACCTGGACACACCTTAAATATCTGCGAATAATAGTAGTCACAGTAAGGTGTGTTCTGTCTTTACGACTCGGTTAAGTGTCCAACTGTGTATTTTTCAATTATGCTGCGAGTAGCTGTTGTATTGGCGGTTCTGTCCGGTAAGTATACCATTTTTTCAAAGCAACCAAGCACATCTGTATTTTGGTGGCATAAATGCCCGGCCTAATCGATATTGCAATGATGGCAGTGTTCATGTTTCGTTTTTGCTTTAAAACGTTTGGACTTGGTTATTTAAGATTAATTTGTTGCTCCTTTTACATGTTTTTCTCTTCGAACATTGAACGCTTTGCGAAAAAGGTCATGATCCCCCGTTGTATTATCCACATTAAGCTGACACGCCGTGATATAACTGGAATAATGTTAAAAGCGGGGTTAAACACAACTCACTCACTTGCCTAAATTGAGCATCAGTAGTGAACTGTTGTTGCCTGTCTGTGAAACACGTAATAACTAAACAAAGAGATCCTAAACATGTAAACTATCATCAGTTAGCAGTTTGTTTGTTGTTTACCTTACTCAGCTATATTCCAGCTATATGACGGCGGTCTGTAAATAATCGAGTTTGAACTAGACATGACATCATGAGCATCAATCCGAGCAATTGGGATGACATGCATCAACCAAGTCAGCGAGCCTGACAACCCGATCCCGTTAGTCGCCTCTTAAGTGGTAGCAGCAGCAAGAACAGCAGCAGGCAGGCAGGCAGGCAGCAGTAGTAGTAGTAGTAGGAGTAGTAGTAGTAGTAGTAGCATTAGTTGGTAGTAGTACACAGATTAAAATAAAGAAATAGAGCAAAGAGGGTCGGGTGATTCTGGCACAGTCAGGCTGGTTCTTCTTCTTCTTCTTCTTCTTCTTCTTCTTCTTCTTCTTCTTCTTCTTCTTCTTCTTCTTCTACTTCTTCTTCTTAAACCCATGCCATGTTTCTTTCAGTTTCCTCCGCTCAGTTTTTCAACAACTGGTTCGGCAGCCAGTTCACCTGCCGTGTCTACCAACACAGGGACTGCTCCACATACGATATACACGAGGAATGTGGAACTGATGGGGTCACGTACAAGAACAGGTACGTCACACATGTGACCGAGAGCTTCTATGTTGCTCCTCAGGCTAGATGCGTGGAGAAGTGTCTCACTGACTCAGTCAAGGGTGAACTCAGCCAAAGCTGCTATAGTCACGCCCCTTGACATGCAAGTCATTGATGTTGTCATACACACATGGAGATGCAAGTCATTGATGTAGTCACACACACATGGATATACAAGTCATTGATGTAGTCATACACACATGGATATACAAGTCATTGATGTAGTCATACACCCATGGATATACAAGTCATTGATGTAGTCACACACACATGGATATACAAGTCATTGATGTAGTCACACACACCTGGATATACAACTCATTGATGTAGTCATACACACATGGATATACAAGTCATTGATGTAGTCATACACACATGGATATACAAGTCATTGATGTAGTCACACACACATGGATATACAGGTCATTGATGTAGTCACACCCCCATGGATATACAAGTCATTGATGTAGTCACACCCCCCCATGGATATACAAGTCATTGATGTAGTCACACACCCATGGATATACAAGTCATTGATGTAGTCACACACCCCCATGGATATACAAGTCATTGATATAGTCACACACACATGGATATACAAGTCATTGATGTAGTCACACACCCCCATGGATATACGAGTCATTGATGTAGTCACACACCCATGGATATACAACTCATTGATGTAGTCACACACCCATGGATATTCAAGTCATTGATGTAGTCACACAAACATGGATATACAAGTCATTGATGTAGTCACACACCCCCATGGATATACGAGTCATTGATGTAGTCACACACCCATGGATATACAACTCATTGATGTAGTCACACACCCATGGATATTCAAGTCATTGATGTAGTCACACAAACATGGATATACAAGTCATTGATGTAGTCATACACACATGGATATACAACTCATTGATGTAGTCACACACCCATGGATATTCAAGTCATTGATGTAGTCACACAAACATGGATATACAAGTCATTGATGTAGTCACACACACATGGATATACAAGTCATTGATGTAGTCACACACCCATGGATATACAAGTCATTGATGTTGTCATACACACATGGATATACAAGTCATTGATGTAGTCACACACACATGGATATACAAGTCATTGGTGTAGTCATACACACATGGATATACAAGTCATTGATGTAGTCACACACACATGGATATACAAGTCATTGATGTTGTCACACACACATGGATATACAAGTCATTGGTGTAGTCACACACCCATGGATATACAAGTCATTGATGTAGTCATACACACATGGATTTACAAGTCATTGATGTAGTCACACACCCATGGATATACAAGTCATTGATGTTGTCATACACACATGGATATACAAGTCATTGATGTAGTCACACACACATGGATATACAAGTCATTGATGTAGTCACACACACATGGATATACAACTCATTGATGTAGTCACACACCCATGGATATTCAAGTCATTGATGTAGTCACACACACATGGATAAACAAGTCATTGATGTAGTCACACACACATGGATATACAAGTCATTGATGTAGTCACACACCCCCATGGATAAACAAGTCATTGATGTAGTCACACACCCATGGATATTCAAGTCATTGATGTAGTCACACACACATGGATAAACAAGTCATTGATGTAGTCACACACCCATGGATATTCAAGTCATTGATGTAGTCACACACACATGGATAAACAAGTCATTGATGTAGTCACACACCCCCATGGATAAACAAGTCATTGATGTAGTCACACACCCCCATGGATATACAAGTCATTGATGTAGTCACACCCCCATGGATATACAAGTCATTGATGTAGTCACATACACATGGATATACAAGTCATTGATGTAGTCACACACCCATGGATATACAAGTCATTGATGTTGTCATACACACATGGATATACAAGTCATTGATGTAGTCACACACACATGGATATACAAGTCATTGGTGTAGTCATACACACATGGATATACAAGTCATTGATGTAGTCATACACACATGGATATACAAGTCATTGATGTAGTCACACACCCATGGATATACAAGTCATTGATGTTGTCACACACACATGGATATACAAGTCATTGGTGTAGTCATACACACATGGATATACAAGTCATTGATGTAGTCACACACACATGGATATACAAGTCATTGATGTAGTCATACACACATGGATATACAAGTCATTGATGTAGTCACACACCCATGGATAAATAATTGACATAGTCACATATGAACAGGGAGGCCACACACGTGAGGTTGCAGGTAATTAAAATACATATGAAGAGGTATGTTTTTAATGTTGTCACATACGCCAGAACGTGTAAATAATTGACATAGTCACATATGAACAGGGAAGTAATTGATGTGGTCACACATATGAACAGTGTCATCGAGTCATGAAACTATCCCTGTCTCGGTCTAGTGACCGCACCGCTACCCTCGCCTTGGCTGTTCGGGAGAGGTTGTCCAAGTATACATACCTATCTCAGGATCTTTTGTCTTTAGGCTTTGTTAGATTTTCTTAGTACGTGATTGCGGGGCACTTTGGATTTAGAACTGACTTATTGAGGTGGTAATGAGCGCTAAACGTATTAGCTAAGGATTTTCATACGTCGTTAATGTAGAATGCAAACAGTGCACATTGACACTCTTTTGCAACAATTGTAGGTGTTTAGTTTACCCTAACAGTTTGACGTCATAACATATGGTCATGTGTATTTTATAGATGTGACTTTACCAAGGCTCGCTGTCAAGACAGCGTCATCGACGTAGCCTATTACGGTGCCTGTGACAACCGCACCATAACAGGGGGCCCAGTGCTCTCTGGAGAAGAGGCTGTTCTGGACTTCTTCTGTCTGGAGATCTCCCACGAAGACTGCCCCGCTGATAAAGATGAAGTGTGTGGAACAGACAAAGTCACCTACGACAACTTGTAAGAGTTGTATTTTGTCAAGCTTATATTTATCATCTGAAACTGGCTCCCACAGGAGATATCACTGCAATGAAATTGCATCACAATGTTTTGCAGACCATTGTGACATCATTGGTTACCATGACGTCACAATCAAATGACATCACAAATGGCTCTGCTACTGAAGCTGTTAGCAGTACTATTTAGACTTAACACACTGCTTATTACTGTCTACAAACTGAAAAAGGTGGAAGAATGATGTTGTATATAGAGAATCCCACCCTCGTGTCTTGTGAGATAAAATATATCAACACTCGTTGATAAAAGTGGAAAGACTCCTCGGCAAGCCTCGGAGTTTTCCCACTTTTATCAACTTGTGTTGATATATTTGATATCAAAAGACACTCGGTGAGATTCTCTATATACTGAACAAATAAAGTGAGAGATCATGATTATTTTACGGGACTTATTTCGTAGTGAAGGCTAAGCACACAGTTTCATAAAATAATATTTTCTTACCTATTCATGATCCCTAACTTATTTTGTTCAGAATATATTCAAATCATAAGGCATTATCAGTGGTGAGTTTTATCATATTCTCTTTCAATGATGAAAGTAACGAAGGGTTAATCAAGGATTGTAAGATGAACTTGAGATTATGTTTGGCATCACTACAATACGGCGTGATCCTACTTTCTTCCATTAGTGTAGACCCGTGAAGATCCGGGGTAGAATAGATTTTCAGCATTCCATGCTTGCCATAAAAGGCGTTTATGCTTGTCGTAAGAGGCGACTAACGGGATCGGGTTGTCAGCCTCGCTGACTTGGTTGATGCATGTCATCAATCCCAATTGCGTGGATCGATGCTCATGATGTCAATCACTGGATTGTCTGGTCCAGACTCGATTATTTACAGACCAACGTCACATGGCTGGAATATGGGTGAGTGCGGCGTTAAACAACAAACAATCCAAGCAAATCCATCAGTGTATGTCATCCTATATATGACTTTGTAATTGAAAACATAATGTGACAATAAAACTGTAAGGAATAGTGCCCATTTTAGAAACTTCTTTTCACATAGAAAATATCTGTTAAAAGGATTTCATCAGGTGCATTATTATGACTTTCAGCTGTGAATATGAGAAGGCAAAATGCACCCACAGGGATCTTCATGTTATCACCTTCGGAACATGCCCTGTCTAAACACTTACGTAAGTATAAGGGTGAGTGAGTGAGAAGGGCTCGACGCCAAAAAAAACAACCTTCAGGTCTTCAGGTGGACGTTATACCCACCGACGAATAAATCCAAGCGTTTGTTAATATTTGAGAGGAAGGCTAACTGTAATGCTGACCTGTCTCACGTGCGTGGGTTAAAACTCTTGAATCTTGTAAGAGGCATCGATAAACTGAAACTCATCGTAAGTTTTACGTGTTGACCATCATTTGTGTTTCAGATTGCGTGATCAGCATGGGACAGAACAAGTGCTAACACATACCACTTGTAATTTTGAAACATGAAATAAATAAAATCCAAACCATGTGTGAAGTCCGTCAGTCATCTCTTCCTGTGGAGCCAGCTAAAATAAATATCATTATAAACACCCATTCTGAGAAACAAACTGAAGACAAACTGCCTGGCAAACAAACCTTCGTCATCAGATGAACAACTGACTTTCCTTTGCATGTCTTTGTAACGGGTGCCAGCGGTGGGGCCGGATACGCTCACCCCTGACCAGCACCTGGAATCATCACTAGTTGATGGTTTTTTTTAGCACATGCTCATGGTATAGTCGGAATTGTAAAATCGACTTAGTTTTCCTATGAATATGGACAGTTTTTTCGATCATCATCATCATCATCATCCTTTATGTCTCCCATGATGCGTTTCTGTTTCTGCGTTGCTAGTGAACACCAAATAAATATTTGGTTTGACATTTACGTTTAATTTAAAGCCCTCCTTCAATCCTCAAACTCTAAAAAGATATATCCAATATCTTGAACTTGTATGATCAGTCTGTGACCTCTATATTAGATTGAGTGACCACACGCCAGATACGTCAAAAGCCTACATTCTGACCCTGTGTCCGTTATCTGACCAAACAGTCTTTGTTTACTGTACCTAATATTACTGAGATATAGTGGTGCATATTATGTCAACGTTTGGTTCATTCATGGAGGATATCTATGGTTGACTAAAATATGACTATTTGTATTGAGATCGGCAGATACTATGTAATCATTTGGCAGACAGACAGACCGACAGTTTTCAGTAAAAGGCCTCCGATCAAAATACATACATATTCAGACGCACATTTACACATGAGCATTGCTTAAACTCTCCGCACCATTTCGGATATGTGCTACATTAATAATGTCTGGTTTGATCCATTCGTGGAAGCAAATGTGTCATGGTAAGACACTCGGTGAAAGTGGAATACCGATAGACGTTTTGAAGAAAGCCCCCATAATTTGTATTGAATTCTTTTCAATTCCTTTCCAGGATCAGGTAAATATGCAGGAATGTGGATAAGAGAAAAAATATTGCCACAAAGGGGAGTGTCAATCGGCCATCTAGTTATATACCTATCACGTTGTTAGAAGTAGCAGGGAAAATATTCTCAAACGTTTGTGAAACAGATTATATTTTGGGGGAGAAAGTTATACTATTCTAGTTCCTGAACAATCAGGTTTCTGGAAGGGATGTCAAACTGTTGATAATATTTCTGTTTTCGATACCATCATAAATAAATACTTATCACCATACGAAGGTAAACTGCCTTGTGTATTTATAGATTTAAAATGAGCTTTCGAATCTGTAGCAAGAAGTGTTTGTCTGCTTAAATTGTGGACTAATAATGCGAAGGGTTTTCCGTTTAAACCACAATATGTATGCAAAAGTTGTATCTTGTGTCTAACTTACTTTGTTCGGCTTCAGACAGGGATGTCAGATGTTTCCCCTGTTATTTACGTTATACATTGATGACATCATTCAGTTTTTGGGTGACGAGGGTCAAAGATATATTGAAAAATGGGTTTTCATTTTGTTGTTTGCTGACGATATGGTGTTAACTGAAAGCAGTGTTTTTGGTTTACAAAGGAGACTAGATAAATTATCAGTGCATTGTAACACATAACACTTATTGGTAAATGTGGATAAAACTAAGGTTAAGGTATTTTGAAAAGCTGGAAGACTTAAGCATTATGAAAGGTTTTATTTTAATGGTTTAAAATTGGAAATTGTTTCTTCCCTTACATATTTATATACCGTTTTCTAGTTCAGGGTCTTGACACAACAAACACTTTCCGAACAAGCTGTAAAAATCGTCCGGACATTAAGATCCAGTGGGCTCAATTTAGTAAATCTACCAAATAAAGTTTTATTACACATATAAGATGCTAATGTTCTTCCGGTGTTGCTGTATGGTTCCAAAGTCTAGAAGTTCGTGTTGAAAAAAAACCCTATAACAAACAGGTTCTTCATTTAGGCCGAGCAACTCTGAGCATTGCTTCAAGGAGAGAGTTAGGATGGTTTTCGACAAGAGTAAACCACTATAAAATACTGGGTCAGAGTTTTGCATGAGCAAGGTAATAATATATTACGTAAAAGTTATGAATTCGGATATTCCCTTCCAGAAAATGGTAGGAGGAATTGGGCACGTAATGTTAAATAGCTACTATTTACCATGGAATTGGTTATGTTTGTGTACGCCAAGCTGTTGGTTGTGCAAAATCTTGTATCTCAGAATTTAAAGAGAGGTGTATCATTATTGTTAAACTGACTTGGTTTCAGTATAGCAATGGCAATTTCAAAATTAGATATGTCAAGAAGTATTAAGTTAGATGTAAGACATGAGTATTAATGTTAATAATCAAGGAACCAGTATATAGAATATCCATATGTACATTCCGGTGTTTCGATCACAGGTTATTAATGGAAGAAGGAAGGAGATTTAATTTTCCACGTTGTTTTAGGCCCTGTTCATTTTGTGTAATTCTCTATGTTGAATCTGAATACCATGCTTGCTTGATATCACTATTTAATTGAAGATTCGGAATAGATGTACTTCCAAAGTATTACAAAACATTTCCAACTGTATTTAAATTTAAACAGCTATTGTCGTCTACTAATCTATTAATTGTCAATTGTTTAGCCAAATATATATTTCTTGGTATGAAAATGCGAAGCAAATTTTTCTTTTAACACAATGTGTAACAATGTCTTACAAGCTTGTCTTACTCCACAAACATAATGCTGATATGAAATAATGTATATGCCATTGACCATTGTATGGCGCTTCCGTCAGTAGTACACTGTTTGCAATGTACTTAAAAATGAATGAAAAACTCAATTTCCAATCTCATGCGTGAGATTTCATGAAAACAGAAAGAATTATTTTCAAGGCGGCGTTATGCCAAACTCACTGATTGACCCACTTACTCACTCACCAGCAGGTTACCACATCACTCCTCTTTGTAGTCAAACAAATAATGTATTCAAGTTGGTACAATTCCAAATACTGTCACTGTATAAAAAATCAATTTGAGAAGCATTCAAGTTATTATTTATAGCTTTGGTTTTGCAAACTCATATACGAAAGCCTACAGTGTCACTTTGGTAGTATAAATCTATTATTATTTATTATTTTAAAATCGATATTTCTCGTTATTTCAATCATTTGTTTATTTTTGAGAAAATTTCGAGTTTTTTGTCGTTACTTTGATTCTTATCTATTAATTTCGATTATTTTTTTGTTACTTCACCTTTATTTAAAAATATCGAAATTACGATTTTTTTTTCTGGTTACTTCGGTTAGTTTTTCGTTATTTCAAAAGCTCGTCATTTCGAGCATAATACTGAAATAACGAAAAAATAATCGGAGCAACGAGACGAAACTAAAATTGTAATAACGACAAAATAATCGAAATTACGAAAATATACGAAAGTGGTACCATTAGGCTTTCGTTGTTACTACCTTTCGTGGTTTTGATTTTATCGTTGTCTTTCGCAAGGTGCACCAGGTAGGTTGTCGTCTTGTTTTCACAAAGATTTTGATTCTTTTCCGAATTTTACATTTCATTATCGCTTTCAACTCTTTTGATAACCTTCTTGACAACGTTACTATATCGTAAACTATAGAATATTCTTTTCTGTACTTAGGCCTACATAGCGAAGTTTCAAATTCAATTTTGTTTCTCATTTTGAAACTCAAAATGCCGGACAAATACGATGTGTGTCTCGTTGAACATTTTCCATGGAATCATGTCTTTGTTTACCGCTTTATAACATGAATCAAGATATAGATATTTACTTTTAAAAACTACAACATCGAGGCTAAAGGCAAGGAGTGTTTAACATACTTTGCATATGCAGATATTTGTGTCAACGATAACGCACCCTGATCTCAGTTTAGATAAAGGATCCGGGTTGGCCAACATAGGACAGTCAGGAACTCAACCTTGAATCAGCTAGTCCAAAATGGTTCGCGTGGTCATCTTCTTCTGTGCAGTGTCATGTAAGTGCCAGGCTGATTAATTATTGTCCTCGTATTTAAATGAAATATTAATGTCACAAACGTTCAAGTTAAGTTCCAGAAATGTTCGTTATTCAATGTAGACATGACACAATCAGTCAGCCAGTGACGAAGATGGTGGTACCGTTTTGACTTGTACAATATGTTTCAGTGGTTTGTTTTCAGATGAACAATTGACTTGCCTTTGCATGTGGTTTCGACGTTTGCCACCGGTGGAGCAGGATACGCTCACCTTATCGCGAACACCTGGTGTCATAACTATGTTATTGTGATTCATAAACACATGCTCATGATATACTCGGAAACGTACAATCGACTCTGCTTTTAGTGTCCCCTGACATCATACTGCTGATATATTGCTAAAAACAGCGTAGAACACATTCACTCATCGTTAGTTGACATGCTCAGAATGAATTGTGTCGTCACACATATCTGGGCAGGCAATTCAAAATCGCCTATTTCTTTCATAAAAGCTCCCACTATTTTCGTGTTTTATCGGAAACATGCAATCATTTGCATTGGTCATAAAACAAAATTGTAGAAATTTGGTTTGAAGTCACGTGGTGAATGAAACAGAACTTAAATACGTCAATAAATACTTAAATAAAATGACGTGATCATTAATAGATTATACACTTTTGCTATTTCCTGAGGGCAAAATTCTCTGTAAACATTTGTACTAAACAATGTGTGCTTGTTTAAACCTGTTATATTTTACTTGTTTCTATTTTACCTGTCTGCTATTTGTACTTGTGGGACAAGGGCAAAGGCTGCCGAGTTGCGTCCCTATCCAGAAACCCTATCATGCCGGTTCTATGTTTCTAACCCGTGCTCGTGCGTTTCACCAAAGTAGCAAACGTCTGGGGTTTGCATCACTTCGGGCTTTCTTCCCACATTAAGCTGACACGCCGTGATATAACTGGAATATTCTTCAAAGCATCGTTAAACCCAACTCACTCACTTACCCATTAGTGGGACAACACAGTAGAATTGACTGAACTTATTTTCTTATATAAAACTAAAAGCATCCTTTTCACGAAACAATATAGATTTTAAAATAATTCATTGTAGGGAAAAGATAAAACCAATAATGTCCTAACTATCCTTCAGTGGTATATTGTGTAGCAAGAAATTATTTGTCTTGGTTTCTCATGAATCACCACTCATAAAACAAAAGAGGAAAAGAAAGCATTTCCATAATCATAACAAATCGCGACTAAAAGCAGAGCCTTGCACTATCATAAGAATGTGTTTATAAATCACAATCAAATGGTGATGATAGCAGGTGTTCACTCACTCTGTCGATCAATCAATCAATTTATATTATACAATTTAGATATATTGATATGTATTTACAACTTTGTTTTAGGGGCAACCGGTTTTATCTTGGATGGCTTTGGTGATATAAGTAACTGTGATCACCACGACCATGACGCGCATCATGATAGCTGCCCGTTTTACACCCATATAACTGAGATCTGCGGCTCAGACGGGGTCACATATAAAGACTAGTAAGTCTCATCAGCTTCTGCGCGTAAAAGATATGTCTTTGGATAGTCAGAATGTCAACTGACACCATAGAAGAAACAATGTTTTTAACTTGGCCATCACAATCACGAATGTATGTTAAATTAATGTGTGAGTGTGTGAGTTAGGTTTAACTCCCCTTTGAACAGTATTCCAGTTATATCACGGCCTGTCAGCTTCATGTTTGGAGGAAAGCCCGAAGTAAGGCAGGTGTTAGACGTTTACCACGTTTGTGAAGCCCACGAGCATGGGTATGGTGCTGACAAAACTAGAAACATAATCGGGGCGAACCGGGATTCGAACTCATAGCAGTAGTTTGCTTTTTCTGGCAAACTCTGCGTGGCGAATTATGGCCCCTTCAACTATTGACACCCGTGCCCCCATTAAACAAAAATATATCATATATCAGAAAATGAGTGAGATGGTTTTAACCCCGTTTAACATTATTCAAGCAATAAACTCCAAGAATCGTTTTGACACATTTTGCTCTTTTGTGTCCTGACTTGGGTTTCCATGTTAAACGACGATAAAAACCGACAAAAGACAGGACTAGAACAAGCAGCCACACAGGCACAAGCACGTCGTTATATATCTGCAATGACTTCATATCACCTCATCGTTGTAGAGGGGCGGTCGGGTAGCCTTGTGTTTAAAGCGCTCGCTCGTTCCACACCCGACATGGGTACAATGTGTGAAGCCAATTTCTGGTGTCCCCCGCCGTGATATTGCTGGAGTGAAGCTAAAAGCCGCGTAAAACAAACTCACTCACTCACTGATCTTTTCAGAATATGAACAAAAGCACAGCTACGGAAATATTATTTCATACAAACGTTGGTTGTTTCAGTTGCGCTTTCATGAAGGTCAAATGTGCTTCCAAGCACAATCAGATACATGTGGCAGGGCTTCGTGCTTGCCACAACAGTCACACTACACACAATCAACAAAGCGCGCACGTCACCTCACCCGAGCCTTCGGCCTCTACATCAATGCCTCAGTCCAAAGAGCCCATGACCTCCACTGTGATGTTTAAGACCACAACGAAGCAGGCCGTGACCTCCACTGTGCTGCCCGTGACCTCAACGAGTGGAGCATCAGCAGAAAATGTTCTGGATTTCTTATGCATCGAGCTGTCTCGCGAGGACTGTGTGCCCGAATTGAGCGAAGTCTGTGGATCCGATGGGTTTACCTACCGCAATTAGTAAGTTTATTTGTTGATAACAATGCACGTGTATACGACATTTGTATGTTATTCATATGTGATGGTAACAAAGGTGACAATGCCAATACTGGTTTCACGTCAAAGGCGTGAACAACAACAACAACAATAACAACAATAATAATAATAATTACAGATTAAAATTAAAAATGCAGCAAAGAGGTTTCGGGTGATCCTGGCACAGTCAGGCTGGTGAGGCTCATCATCAGCTCAGGGCCTTTGCCCCCTCTACACGCAGCCCAGACAGCGAATGGGATTTCTCCCAGGAAGCGCTGCCTATAGCTAGTCAAACTATTCGGATAAGGTGAAGACTCCCCAACACTGCAACCTCCTGCATTACCCAGATTGTCAGAAGGGCTGTATTCCTGGTAGCAAACCCAGGTACTCTCCCGATGTCAGTCAACAGATTGGGAGGTACCAAACCTAAGGCACTGAGAACAATGGGTAGTCGGACAACTTGGTATTTGGGATGCGTGACATTTCGAAAGCGAGGTCTGCATATTTGCCATGTGATCTTGTCAATCACATTACTGTCAAAAGGGACAGAAAATTCAATGATATAAATGATTTCATTGGATTTATCAAAAAGGACAAGATCAGGTTTGTTGGCCTGGATATGTCTGAGGCTGTATACGGGCCTATTCCAAAGGATTTTGTATTTATCATTTTCCATGACGCCCTCTACATATTCCTGGTCGTACCATGAATGTACCTCTGTGTCAAAACCACAAGCATGGCGAAGACGAGAATAAAATAATCAAGGCACCCCATCATGTCGCTTAAGATACTATGTCTGTGCCAAAGCTGGGCATCCACTCACAATGTGTTGGACAGACTCATTAAATTCATTACATAATCTACATTTCATATTCACATTTTGATGCAAAATCACACATTGACGGTTTCGAGTACAGGATCCTAAATTAATACTGGATGTTTGTATTTTCAGTTGTGAGTTCCAAAAAGCAAGATGCATGCACAGACAGCTCAAGATGGAACACAGTGGATATTGCTGAATGTCAGATTTTGAAGTAAAGCTTGGACCATGACGTTATTGGTGTTATTGAATACGCCCACGCCTATGTGTGTGTGAGTGTGTGTGTGTGTCTGTGTGTGTGTGTGTGCTAGAAAGAGAGAAAGATAGAGAGTGGGAGAAGATAGAGAGTGAGAGAAAGATATAGAGAGAGTGTTATATATAAAAGTGTTTATATATAAAAACTGCAAACTGCAAACTCAATGAAGACAAAAATGAAACGACTTGATTTTCGGTCTTTGTTGAGCAATGGTTGCTTCTAATCGTGATCAGGGCGATTTTGGCTTCATGGGTGTCTGGCACGCCAAGGGGACGCAACTCAGCACAGAGAATGGAGGCACCCTAGATGCCTCCCAAACAAATATAAAGGGGTTACAATAAAGAGTTTATAATTCTGGTGAATATTTAAAAAAAATCGAGCCCATAAATCCAATAGGATCTCGACAAGCAATGTCAGGACTCCAGATTGAAACTAGTTGCCATCACACTAGCACATGAAACCACACAGACTGTGGACAGTCATCAATCTTATATTACTGTTCATTTTTTTCGGTTGCATTTGTCCCCAAATAAAAGTGTATAAGTACTTTACATAAGGCCTATTGTTACTGTTGATTCAGTCGATTCTGGGCCAGGAATTCATTGGTCAATCTGAAATATGCATTTTGACAAGTACAACTGACACAACTATAAGTCCTTATGCAAAATTAAAGAGACGTTATATACCGTATTCGACGTAATAAGCACCCACGGCGATATTTAGTAATATATTGGCTAGTAAACAGTCCCAATTAGCACCCCTTCCGATTGATCAATGTACAAGATTTATTTATTCGTATATAATACGTGTGTTATATGCATCCTTAATTATGGGAAATAAAATTCTGGAAAAATATATCTGTCGTATATAAACATTTCAGGCTGTCAGCATAAACCACGAAATTTACGATCTTTCAACTCTGTTGTTTTTCACCAAAATAATATTCCTATAAGAGCCCCCTAATTCTAATTTTGAGAGCGCTTTTTATGTCGAATACGGTATCCAGGATATTATGGTTTAAGTCGATATCACTCGAACCTGTTACTCACGGAATCAACAGTTTGAAGGATTTATTCATTACCTAAAACGGCCGTCGTGTTATAAGAACTACCGTGGGATCTAAACGGTTTACACTACACCATTGCTGCCCCAGGTAGAGAAAGAGCCGTATGGGACCGAGTGAAAACAGAGTGCTTGTTGTCATGGCAATCTAATCAGGAGCCAGAACCAGGAGTGTGTGAGTGAGTAGGTTTACCACAGCTTTGAACTGTATTTTACTTATATATTATTACGACAGGACGGTTTAATGTTGGAAGAAAGCCCGGAGTGATGCAGGTCTCAGACGTGACACCCACGTGCACGGTTATGGTGCTGACACACCCGTGACCCCGTCAGTTACTCGTTAGTGGATCCCACGACCATCGGCATGACCCGTGCCTATCAGTGATCACAATCAGATCACAATCTGGGAATCGAAACCAACGATTAGCGGATACTGGCGAGGCTGATTGCTCACGATGTCTGGTCGGGACTTGCTGCCCATTAAACTACTTGGCTACAGGAGACAGGATATTCTGTATAGATGCGGCAACAGCAAAGATACACACCTTGACATTCACACTACAACAGGAATAATATATAAAATACAACGTCAAAAAAATCCTTCAGTATTATTATAAATAAGAAATTCAAAATAATATGCCCACTATCCCTATCCACATGACATCCCATCCCTGCTGTGCCAAATATCCAAATCCGGCATGCCCCCAAACCGCTGTGTCCCGCATCCTTAACCACATGACCAATTCCTCGTTGTATCCAATGTCCCTATCCACATGACCCAAATCCCTGCTGTGCCAAGTATCAATATGACCTTCACCGAGGCTGTACCCAATATCCTTAACCACATGATCCATTCCTCGTTGTATCCAATGTCCCTATCCACATGATCCCCATCCCTGCTGTGCCAAGTATCCATATGTCCTTCACCGAGGCTGTACCCAATATCCTTAACCACATGATCCATTCTCCGCTGTATCAAATGTCCTTATCCACATGATCCCCATCCCTGCTGTGCCAAGTATCCATATGACCTTCACCGAGGCTGTACCCAATATCCTTAACCACATGACCCATTCTCTGCTGTATCAAATGTCCCTATCCACATGATCCCTGTTCCTGCTGTGCCTAATATACATATCATTATGACCCCACCCCGCTGTTCCCCTTTTTCCTTACCGCATGAACCCGGGAAGATCCGGGCTAGAATAGATCGTGGTCAGATGGTGGTCAGACTCGCTCACTTGGTTGATGCACATGTCATCGTGTCTCAATTGCGTGGATCGATGCTCATGATATCAATCACTGGCCTGTCTGGTCTAACTGGGATATTTACAGACCGCCATCATATAGCTGGAATAGTGTGTGGCGTTAAACAACACACTAACAAATAAACAAGCCTTAAACGCATGACCTCCATCCCCGCTCTGCAGGATATCCCAATCTACATAACATCCACCCCCGTTGTGCCTAATATCCCCATTCACATACTCCCACATCAACTCGCAAAATAGGATGAGCTCCCTTATGCCCCCCTTTCACTACGACCACGAATATCCCGACTCACCAGAATCGGAAACTTTCGATATTCGTGATGATTCGGCCAGTAATGCAAACTATCGTGGCTAATCGGGTTGAAAAATGTGAAGAATGCCAGGAATGGGTTAAGAAACATGTACGAATTACAAGATTCATGTACGGATCATGCACGAATTGTAAAATCCCCTTCGACTAAGTTACGAATGTGCCGAATGTTGTTCTTGCTTAAGTCTCACATGATTCGTAGTTGACTCGGGACATTCGTGGCTGTTTCGGGATGTTTTCGGGTTGAGGACAAGAAATTTTGGGAGCCACGAATCGCTAGAATCGATTACGAAGCTGTTACGGATCATAATTACGAATGGATTACGATACAGCCAAGAAATTGTAATTCGGGGACCCTTCTACGAAAGTTTTTGACAAACAAAAACTTTCTCGGCGATTCGACAAACTCCCGCGAACTGTACGAATATTTGGGTATCAAATAAGATTTATTTAAGAACTTCAAGAAATGATTGAGATTTATCTACGAACATGAAACATTTCTTTATACGGGGTGATTCGGGATATTCGTGGTCGTAGTGAAATGGGGGCATTAGTGTTTACAGTCCAAGTCTTGACACCTCCGTTACCTGCCGGAACAGAGAGCTATGCTGTGATAAGCTTGACATTGGTCAAGGCGTTAGTGTTACAGTTTCTAGAGGGATGGCTGCCACTGTTTTGATTGTTGTTTGGATTCTGCTTCCTATGTTATGATTGTTGTTTGGATTCTGCGTCCACTGTTTTGATTGTTGTTTGGATTAACTTCCACTGTTATGATTGTTGTTTGGATTCTGCTTCCACTGTTTTGATTGTTGTTTGGATAATGCTTCCACTGTTTTGATTGTTGTTTGGATTCGTCTTCCACTGTTATGATTGTTGTTTGGATTCTGCTTCCACTGTTTTGATTGTTGTTTGGATTCTGCGTCCACTGTTTTGATTGTTGTTTGGATTCGTCTTCCACTGTTATGATTGTTGTTTGGATTCTGCTTCCACTGTTTTGATTGTTGTTTGGATAATGCTTCCACTGTTTTGATTGTTGTTTGGATTCTACGTCCACTGTTTTGATTGTTGTTTGGATTCTGCTTCCACTGTTTTGATTGTTGTTTGGATAATGCTTCCACTGTTTTGATTGTTGTTTGGATTCTACTTCCACTGTTTTGATTGTTGTTTGGATTCTGCTTCCACTGTTTTGATTGTTGTTTGGATTCGTCTTCCACTGTTATGATTGTTGTTTGGATTCTACTTCCACTGTTTTGATTGTTGTTTGGATACTGCTTCCACTGTTTTGATTGTTGTTTGGATTCTGCGTCCACTGTTTTGATTGTTGGTTGGATTCTGCTTCCACTGTTTTGATTGCTGTTTGGATTCTGCTTCCTATGTTATGATTGTTGTTTGGATTCTGCGTCCACTGTTTTGATTGTTGTTTGGATTCGTCTTCCACTGTTATGATTGTTGTTTGGATTCTGCTTCCACTGTTTTGATTGTTGTGTGGATAATGCTTCCACTGTTTTGATTGTTGTTTGGATTCTGCTTCCTATGTTATGATTGTTGTTTGGATTCTGCGTCAACTGTTTTGATTGTTGTTTGGATTCGTCTTCCACTGTTATGATTGTTGTTTGGATTCTGCTTCCACTGTTTTGATTGTTGTTTGGATAATGCTTCCACTGTTTTGATTGTTGTTTGGATTCGTCTTCCACTGTTATGATTGTTGTTTGGATTCTGCTTCCACTGTTTTGATTGTTGTTTGGATTCGTCTTCCACTGTTTTGATTGTTGTTTGGATTAACTTGCACTGTTATGATTGTTGTTTGGATTCTGCTTCCACTGTTTTGATTGTTGTTTGGATAATGCTTCCACTGTTTTGATTGTTGTTTGGATTCTGCTTCCTATGTTATGATTGTTGTTTGGATTCTGCGTCCACTGTTTTGATTGTTGTTTGGATTAACTTCCACTGTTATGATTGTTGTTTGGATTCTGCTTCCACTGTTTTGATTGTTGTTTGGATAATGCTTCCACTGTTTTGATTGTTGTTTGGATTCGTCTTCCACTGTTATGATTGTTGTTTGGATTCTGCTTCCACTGTTTTGATTGTTGTTTGGATTCTGCGTCCACTGTTTTGATTGTTGTTTGGATTCGTCTTCCACTGTTATGATTGTTGTTTGGATTCTGCTTCCACTGTTTTGATTGTTGTTTGGATAATGCTTCCACTGTTTTGATTGTTGTTTGGATTCTGCTTCCTATGTTATGATTGTTGTTTGGATTCTGCGTCCACTGTTTTGATTGTTGTTTGGATTCGTCTTCTACTGTTATGATTGTTGTTTGGATTCTGCTTCCACTGTTTTGATTGTTGTGTGGATAATGCTTCCACTGTTTTGATTGTTGTTTGGATTCTGCTTCCTATGTTATGATTGTTGTTTGGATTCTGCGTCCACTGTTTTGATTGTTGTTTGGATTCGTCTTCCACTGTTATGATTGTTGTTTGGATTCTGCTTCCACTGTTTTGATTGTTGTTTGGATCGGGTGGTCAGGCTCGCTGACTTGGTTGATGCATGTCACCGATCCCAATTGCGTGGATCGATGCTCATGAAATTAATCACTGGAATGTCTGGTCCAGACTCGATTATTTACAGACCGCCGTCATATAGCTGGAATATTGCTGAATGCGGCGTTAAACAACAAACCAACCAACCAACTAATTCCTGGATTCAAGAACGGAGCACGTGCATCAATCAAGACATTCAACTGGAATTGATGAGTGCACTGACTTATGTAATAGAGCCTAGTACTCATTGCTGCTGCCTCATGTGTTGTCCCATCGTGTTGCCTTTCCTTATTGTAGACCACATCCTCTGTATTTTCATATATCTTTTTCAATTGTTCATTGACTTTGTGTGGTTTCACGATTATATTCTATACGTACCGATTTCTGTGTTAACAATTTGGAAATCAACATGTAACAGTAGCGATTCATAAACATATGTTTAATCATGCAACTGACTCTGAGTTTAGCAGATATTTCTTATGGTTAAGAAAAGGGTTTAAATTTAATATCGCTACAACCATATTGATGAATGTATGATCAGTAAATCATTAACATTGTGACATGCAAATATTCACACCTTACCTGAATTGACTACAGAACAACGTTAATGAAGAACACGCTAATAACGATCTGGTGGATATAACGAGCTAGCTTTTTGGTCCCGTTCATTTGCTGTATATATGTTGTATATATGCTTATAACAAACTACGGTTACAACGAATTAAAATTAGTGGTCCTTGCGAGTTCGTCATAAACGTAGTTTACAGCAAACAGAAACAGCAAGCGATTCAAGGCTTTGCCCGTTTTGGGGTAGTTTTAGAAAGTGCCATTAGTTCGTACCTTGTGTGAAACTTAAACACTGCATCTGTCAAATAAGTATAATCATTAACTGGTATATTGAATTTTCGCAATAAAATTTGAAATAGCAGACAAACACAGTGGGGTTTGAACGACATGAATGAAAAGTGCTGTGTCTGCCTATTTGCCAAAGCAGGTCCCATATTAAGGAGATAGTTAGTGAGAGTGATTGAGTGTGGTTTTCCGCCGCTTTTATCACTATTCCAGCAGTACCACGGCGGGGCACACCAGAAATGGGCTTAACAAATTGCACTCCTGTGGGGAATCGAACCCTTTAACCTAGGCTGCCCCACACACCTTTTAAGGATTAACTGAAGCCACAACATATAGTCCGTTTCGGAATATGTAAATAGTGCCTGTGAAATAGAGACATTAATTGGGGTAGTCAACTATTGACAGAATGAAGAAGATAATACAAGGTTTTTGACTGACCTTATTAAACCTTCCAAAACTGCAAACTGGTTTGAAAAACGCATATTTTTCCAATTCGAATCCCTATCTGATAGACAACAGGCGGTATCACTATATATATGTGGGACGTATGGCTATTCCCATGGTCTCTTGGCCTTTCACTCGTGCCTTATGATATTCAAGTTGTCACGTACGCGAGACAGCCATGCATTTCATATTACTGGAAGTACTCCTTCTTGTATGTAAGTATCAACCTTCATTTTGACATCACTAGGCAAGTTGCATGTGAGTTGGGTTAAAGGCCGTTTTGAACAGTATCGCAGTTCTATCGATATATTCCGACGTGCCAGTTTAATATGGGTGTGAGGGGAGATGGGATGTGGTTAACGCCACGTGACGTTCAATCTTATTGTTCTTATACAGCGATGTGTATGCACGTGTATGGTTGCTTGTGCTAGTCCGATTTTATAACGCTAGCCCATTGAGATACTACACCGTAGGTTAACATGAATCCCACTCAGACACATTATACTGACTCCGAGCAGACCAGGACTTGTTTCATCTCCATGAAGTTGGTTGGTTTGTTGTTTAACGCCGCACTCAGCAATATATGTGACGGCGGTCTGTAAATAATCGTGTTTGGACCAGACAATCAGTGATTGATATCATGAGCATCGATCCACGCAATTGGAATCGATGACATGCATCAACCAAGTCAGCGAGCCTGACCACCCGATCCCGTTAGTCGTCTCTTACGACAAGCATAGTCGCCTTTTACAGCAAGCATGGGTTATTGAAGACCTATTCTACTCCGGATCTTCACGGGACCATCTCCATAATGGCATCGTGCAGGGTAATAAGGAGTGCCATCTTTTAACTTAGTTTGGTTTGAGGCAGCCGGGGATCGAACCCCCGACCTTCTACTCTCCGGGCACGGAGACGATCCTTAATTTTAGGCGATAAGGACGTGAGGTGGTTCAACTTGCAATAATACGTTTTTCTCATTGGGAGACCTAGATTGGGATTTCCCCAAAATAACATGTTTATCTGACCTAATGACCTAATGAGTGAACATGGCTATACTGGCATGTCAGAAGATATCGATGAGAAAAAACATATGACAAGAAAGGATAAATATTCTGTTAATCATATACCATAGTGTCATTTAGGCGGTTATTCCAGAAGTATTCCAGGGGGGTCGGGAGGCCTAGTGGTGAAAGCGTTCGCTCGTCACGCCGAAGACCCGGGGTCGATTCCCAACATGGGTCCAATGTGTGAAGCCCATTTCTGGTGTCCACCACCGTGATATTGCTGGAATATTGCTAAAACCATACTAACTGACTCACTCAGAGGTATTCCAGGGGGGCCACAGTAAAGTGTTTCATACATTGTACCCACATGTTAATCAAACCCAGGAATTGGGTGTGGCGACGGAACACTTTAACCACTGGGCACCTGGTTTTTGTCACATTTATACGTCACCTAAGACGTACATACGCACTACGCACTTTGTCGTCAGTGACTGAGAGAGTGAGTGAGCTGGGTTTAACGTCGCATTTAACAATATTTCAGTAACTAGTATGTCTTGGCTTGTCAGCTCAATGTTGGACATCTACCACTTTGGTAAAACCCACCACAACGGGTGTGATGCTGACAGACAAACCCTAATCGAAGCTGCCAGCCGAACCCATGATCATAGGATTCTGGTACGCCTAAGGAACGCAACTCTGTACTGCCACGTGTGACAACGACTGGGTAACCTGTACCCTCTTATGAATACGAGATATTTCTCATCATATTTGTATAGTATTTTTACGTGCCAAGTCTGATGTAAAAGCCATCCAAGCTTGGTGTCCGGCTGTTGAACATTTAATTGCTGTTTTGTGACTTCTTTGAGAGGCATTTAGAAATTGTAGTACTAAGTAAGGAAAAGATATATGGGTGAACAACTTTTTTATTGGAATTAGTAACGACGTTTCGGTGTAGGTTCTTGCTTGATAGCGGTGTTAAAACCTGCACCAAAACGTCGCTCCTAATTGTAATAAAGAAGTTGTTCATCCATATATACACATGCACAAAAGTTAAGTGCCACCAACCATATTTGTGAGCTGTTACTGTTGGCACTTAATGATGACTATTATAACGAGATGCACGATTGTTATAAGCTGTATATGTAAACCTCATGAGATGCAAAAGTTGTCCCAAAGCAAGTTTATCTTGTGTTCCAAAAGAATATGAGCAGAAAGGAATTTTACCAAAGACCAGAAATTGAAGCATTAGAAAACATTGAAAAACTTTTTTGTCATGTAACTGTCATGATATCTATATATACTAGGGAGTGCAGAGTCTATTGCAAGACAGAAACGTCAGTAACGTGTGTATGATCCACGGACATTGACCACAGCTTCAACCCTACGCCTCATACTCATTACAAGTCGTTGAATGCTTCTCTGAGGAAAACGGATCCATTCTTCATGAAGTGCAGCTTCAAGTCAAGCGAGATTTTGAACTGGGGGATCACGATGTCTGATGTTCCGGCCAAGAATGTCCCAGAGATGATCAGTCGGATTAAGATCCGGACTACAGGCCGACCAAGGAAGAGTGGCAATAGCTTCTTGACGCAAATAAGCCAAAACTGCCCGAGATATGTGAGGTAGATCTAGCATTGTCGTCCATTGTCGTTATGTAGTTTTGAGATCACATATTTGTCTCACTTTCTAGGTATAGGTGAATACGCAGAAACCGTTGGTATTGCTGGGTGTGGAATCGTGGATCAGCTGGCATGTGATGACTTTGAGGAAAGGAGGGTGTGTGGATCGGACGGGAGAGACTATTTTAATGAGTAAGTAAAGTGCATTATTTCTTATGCCCAACATCAGTATTCCGCCACATACATATACACCTGAAGAAAATCACATTGCAGAATATTGGAAAGAATGTTGTTCTGTGTCATCAATGTGACCTAACCCCGAGCATTACAACTCCAAAACAAATTTGCCACACTTAAATAGATTTATGAAAGCCGGGAATCTTTTTTCAAGATATTGGCTTATTTCAAGATGACCGACAAGGAAAATTGAATATCATATATTTGATGTATGAACGGCATAAATTGACGATAATGCATCAGATTAGCAAAATAGCTTTTTTCAATTACATTGTATGTGCCACAATAAATTATGATAGAATAAGTTTAAATGATAATGCTAATTTGACAGGGAAAATGCCCCAAACAACTTTATATATCTGTTGAATATCTTGTCTATTTAAACGGAATGATTAAGAGAAAATTGTACATACGTTAAGCAATACAATAAGCAAGCAATAAGCAGTATACAAATGGCGGTGCACAAACAATTTAAAGACAATTATACTTCATTGTTGACAGGAAAATATAAACAGCATCGACATTTGTTATGATACCTGTTCAATACCGGGGTTCCTCACAATGATAATCGACGACTGTTTAAAGGTCGATGGCTGTTTATGTTGAGCATGTTTTACAGCAATGGAGTCTTGCACGTGAACTCCGGGCATAGTAGTTAACTGGTTCTTGACCAATACTACGACAACATTATTTTCTTTTATCGGAATCGCGATATATAGTTTAAAGCTGTGAAGTAGTGATGAAAACAGGTGTTCGCGGAAAGGTGAGTGTATCCTGCCCCACTGACCGGTTGCACCTGTCACAAACACATGCATCTGAAAAAAACCACGGGAACATTGGGTAGAAGTTAAAATTGAGTATCGGACAATATTACGTCACTGATACGTCAAATTTGGAAATATCCTCAATATGTTTTACTTTACTTTGGCCTTGAATGTTATATACCTGATCAAACAACTTTTGTACAAGAGTCGCATGACACTCTTTCAAATCATGGCATACCCAAAGACTGGAGCGGCTGGAATATTGCTCGATATTAAGGGAAAGTTGATTTTAGGAAAGTTGAAATGAGCCCTTTTGTCATACAGCCTGTTCCTGTATCTATGGGGGGCACGGGTGGCCCAGTCGTCTAAGGCGCCGCGATTTGCTGTGCAGAGTTGCGTCCCTTGGACACGCCAGAAACCTATGATTGTGGGTTCGAATCCCGGTTCACCCCGATTATGTTTCTAGGTTTGTCAGCACCATACCCGTGCTCGTGGGTTTCACCGAAGTGGTAAACGTCTAGGATCTGCATCACTTCGGGCTTTCCTCCCACATTAAGCTGACACGCCGTGATATAACTGGAATATTGTTAAAAACGGCGTAAAATCACTCACTCACTCACTCACTGTATCTATGATTGACATAGTGTCAGTGTTTCAAACTGGTTCCGAATAGATATTCTTCTCTCTTTCAGTTGTGATTTTGCCAAGGCTCATTGTCATGACCCTTCACTGCACGTGGGATATGTAGGAGAATGTCCCACGACAACGTTAGCCAGGACAACGACGGCCACAACCACATCTCCAACTACGCATCCGGCTAACGCCAATCTGTTGTGCAAAGCTCTCCAAGCAGCCCAGTGTCCTGATGACTCCGAGGAATTATGCGGGACGGATCGGAATACTTATCCCAATTTGTAATTTTTATTATTGATGTTTTCTACGGAAGCGTAGTAGGGCCACGGTGAAATGTTTTTTGTCTAAGTATCTCCTACGTAAGACATATTATCTTCTACGTAGGACTTAGTATCTCCTACGTAGGACTTACTATCTCCTACGTAGGACTTACAATGTCCTAAGTATGACTTACTATCTCCTACGTAGGACTTAGTATCTCCTACGTAGGACTTACTATCTCCTACGTAGGACTTAGTATGGCCTAGAATCACTATCTCCTACGTAGGCGATATTAAGTCCTACGTAGGAGATTCTAAGTCGTACGTAGGAGATAGTGATTCTAGGCCATACTAAGTCCTCTGTAAGAGATAGTAAGTCCTACGTAGGAGATACTAAGTCCTACGTAGGAGATAATAAGTCCTACGTAGGAGATACTAAGTCCTACGTAGGAGATACTTAGACAAAAATAATTTCACCGTAGTCCTACTACGCTTCCGTAGTTTTCCCTTTTTGTCTGGTTGTGTATAAATGCTTTGCTTTCCCCAAACTCGATTATTTAGCGACGACAGATATTTACTACCTAAAATAAGTTAAAGAATACCCGATTCTTTCATGTGACATGACAAATAGCTTTCGTAATATTACAGGTAGTACTAGTATATATACTCGGAATGTTGCTAATTGTGACGTTATTCAGTCATTCGACCGTCCAAGAAAATGGTTATAGCTGCACATTCAACTTCGGATGTATCGAACTCCTTGAGTAATTAGTTCGTTATATCTGAAAGTCCTAATACATACATCTTTCATTACTTTTCTATTCGCAATGTAAATCGCCTATTCAATTTTTGCAGGGGAGATGTAGTCGTTATAAAACGAATTGATAGAATAAGGTTGACATCTAGCTTATTTCTTTTTAAAACGTATAGTCATGTGGGATGGTACTGTACGCAAGTATGGCTAAAATAACTAAAGTATGGCTAAAATGAGCGAAAAAGCCACACAACAATCAACGAAGCAGCAAGTCCTTGACCCGAGAAGACTCTTGTGTGATATGTTTGTTTATGTATTTATCTACCTGACTTGATTATAAAAGTGCCCATCTTCAAATACAGTAAACTACGGTTATAACGAATTAAAAAGGACCACAAATATTAGTTCGTTATAATCGTAGGTCGTTATAAGCATTTATCATCCAAAACTGGCTCCCACAGAAGATATCTCTTGCCTGAGAACAAGCGATATCTAGATTGTAGATATTGCTGTAATGAAATTGCATCACAATGCTTTGCAGACCATTATGCCATCATTGGTTACCATGACATCACCAATGGCTCTGCTACTGAAGATGTTAGCAGTGCCTTTACACTTAAGACACAGCTTATTCTACTATAACTCCTTTTTCTACAAACTGAAAAAAATAGAAGAATGATGTTGGATAATAAATAAAATCTCACCCTCGTGTCCCACACACGAGTTGATATATTTGATATCAACAGTCACTCCGGTGAGAATCTCTATATACAGCAAAAGCCCGGGACCAGATATAAGTTATATCCGTCATAAGCGTGTTGTGGCTTCAGTTAATCCTTAAAGGGCGTGTGGGATAACCTTGTGTTTACAGTGTTCGCTCGTCAAGCCGAATGACCGGGTTCGATTCCCCACACGAGTGCAATTCGTGAAGCCCATTTCTGGAATAGTGATAAAAGCGGCATAAAACCACACTCACTCACTCCTCCTTAAAGTGGGACCTGCTTGGGCAAATTAGAAATGATTATTTGTTAATGTTTCACTCAAGCTACGAACTAATGGCACTGTCTAAAACTACACTGTCTATGGGCAACAAGCAATGAAGCACTGTTTCTGTTTCTGTTCTGAAACCAATTTGGTACTTTTGTTCTGCACATAAAAAAAAACGTCCAACACAGGCCTTTTCGATGTATTGTAGCCACATTTATACATTAAGTGTTGTTAAAAGTCCAAAACATGAACAGTTCTCATTCTCATGAACACAAATTGTTGCTTAAATATTATTTTCTAAAATATTTGCTCTTCTCTTACAATACACATACATACCGAAAAGGGTATATGCCTCGTTCCATGGAACCGGTGCGGTAGCCCGTAATAGTTAAAGTCTTTGCTCGTCAGGCATACATACAGGGTAGATTCTTCCAATGGGATGCGTTGCTGTCATCCCCGCTATGAAGCCCCAGCAATATTGCAAAGCGTGACGTAAAACCACGCTGAAATGTACGTTGCTCACACTGTACACTCATCCTCACGAAACTGTCGTTTTACATATGGGTGACTCTCTTTCCAGGTGCAAATTTCAACAAGCCAAATGTTCGTCCCCAAGGTTAGAAATTGACCACGTGGGAGTGTGCGTCACACCTAGCCCACTGTGTGAGGCATTCTCCATTGCCATTTGTGAGAATACCAGAAGGGAAATGTGTGGATCTGACAAAATCACATATTATAATCTGTGAGTATTTATATTGGTTAAAAAACCGTTTTTTTACTATTCTATATACATTATATATATAATTGCCCTTACAAATAGCTCTTACATTGTTGCAGTGCGGATTAGTGAGATATCTAGAAGATAAGAATAATACAATTATATATTTGCTTTATATATTTGTGACCGGCGCATCACATATTCAATATTCGGTATCTGATGTTAATATTTTACGGAAGAACATTCATTCAGCTATGGAAAGAAAACGCGTATGTTTAGATACGCAGTGAATGCTTCCATGGCAACCGAACCGCTTGGTTAATCATTTTATTTATTAAAGAATAAATTCCTATTCCTATTCCTATTGAAGTATTACGTTATTCATGCCGAAAACCACAGCTTTCTCATTATTCCCCCCAACCCGTTATGCGGGGATTCAAATGGAAACCTGTCTGTGTCCGTGCAAGATGTTGATAACCGTCCAGTATTTCTTCACCACACTTGGTACATAGATAGGTGTCGTATTGAACTGGCACGTTTTGATAATTTGGGTTTTTAGAAAAATATATTTTTTGAGTTTCCATGGCAACAACTTTGACTTAGACAGGAAATGGGGGTAGTGCTGGTGTCCAGAGCAGATCTTTAAAACCGTACAATATGTCTTCAACAAACTTGGCACATAGATCGGTCTTGTAATGAACGGGTGCCTTGTGATAGTTTTAGTTTTTAGAAAAATATATTTTGAGTTTCCATGGCAACAACTTTGACTTAGGCTGGAAATGGTGCTCATTTCCGGAGCAGATTATGAAAACCGTTCAAAAAGTCTTAACTTGGCACATAGATAGGTCTAGGGATGAAGTGGTACCTTTTGATAGTGTGGGAATTTCCCATTGCAACAACTTTGACTTCGGCTGGAAATGACGATTGTGCTTGTTTCCGGAGTAGATCTTGAAAACCGTAAATATTTCTTCATCAAACTTGCCACATAGATTGGACTAGTGGCGAACTGTGCCTTTTGATAGTTTGATTTGAAAAAAAATGATTGGGATTATGTGTATGGGTTGTCATGGTTATGGTTAATTGCTAGGATGTTTGACACGACAGTCAGTCAGTGTTATGTTGAAGTTCAAGCCATAAAGGACGTTGAACTACAGCCGGTCATCCCCTCTCTTTTCAATATGGAATGGTATTCTGAAATGTGCACTGGAATTTGTACTGCTCGTAGAGGAGAACATGCCTACCTTTTTTCATGAACAACTGTTGTGAACACTAATTATTTACCGGACGGAGTAATACAATAAAAAGAAACAAATCATTCATGTTTTACTAACATTATTTACCGAAATAAAACACTTAATAGATAAAATTCAGTCATGTTTTAGTGACATTATTTACCGGAATAATACACTAAATAGACACGATTCAAGTCATGTCTTGGTGACATTATTTACCGGAAGAATACACAATATAGATACAATTCATTCATGTTTTAGTGACATTATTTACCGGAAGAATACACTAAATAGACACGATTCAGTCATATTTTAGTGACATTATTTGCCGGAAGATTACACTAAAGAGATACAATTCATTTCGCTTCAGATGCTACTTTCAAAAAGCATTGTGTCTCAACCCCTCGCTCTCCGTGCTCCACGAGGGCTCCTGCAATGGCGTCCATGCAACAGACCCTGCCATTACGCCCCCGCCCAAAACAACAACGCCCACAACTACAGTCCGGCAGGGACCAACTCTCTCCCCAGTTTGCCAGGCCTTGCTGCTTGCAGTGTGTGGAAGTCATGTTGAAGCAATGTGTGGAAGTAATGGCAATACCTATCCAAACCCGTGAGTGCAACGTAGTGCGTAGATCTACCCAAGGTCTCATTAATATGATATCTGACACGTCAAACGAAGAACGCGTAAGGTGAATTTCGAGACGGCACCGAGACGTCTAAATTGTGGGTACGTTGAAGGAAGCATTTAAACCAGTATATCCTATTTCGAAAGCTTAATCAATCGAGTTATTCCGAATGTAACGCAAACTGCCGCACCAATATTGAGTTGTGGATAATTCACCCTGTTATAACTGAGCGCCGCGTCTTCTATCGAAGGAATATTTGTGTTCTGTGTGAGTTTTCCGCTTGTTAATATCAACATTTTCGAAAAGAGGTATTAAGGAATTGAGACCGATATCGGATTGGGGGTATAGAATTGGCGATCAAAGGTCAGGATTAACCTGAAATGACCTTCTATGGATTTTTCACCTGATCTTCACACAATGAGGTATAGTATGGTTACTGTGTTTAATGAAATTGACCTGTCATTTTAACTGTGCATGTCATCACCACCCTGGTACAGTCAAACACCGTTGTGTCGAATTTTGATGTGTTGATTTCATGGTTGTCTCGACCTAAAAGCTTGGTCCCTGCGTATTCCTATTATAATTCACCATTTTAGGTTGTGTCGAACCTCCGATAAGTCGAAGTATATACCTAGGCCCCTTCAACTTCGACACAACGGTGGTTGACTGTGCTTGAGAGAAATCTATTTCTTAGTCCGTAGAAGTAAGGGCTAATGTATCGTGAGCTTTTGCTTCACTCAATCACTCCAAGTACCAGTGGTAGGACAGCTATCCTCGATTAATCGAGGATGATGGCAGTGACGTAAAATCTGATTCTTATTATCGTTTAAGGTGCCAGTTGAAGAAACACGAGTGCCTTGACCCATCTATCACTTTAGCGTATGTCGGCCACTGCTCGACGTCAACGACGTCAACGACGTCAACGACGACCGTCATTCCGTCAACGACGACCGTCAATCCTTTAACGACTACCATGCCTTTGCCGTCAACTACGCCTGTACCAACGGCACAAGAGTCAACGACGTCACTACCAATGACGTCAGGACCAACGGAACAAGGGTCAACGACGCCAATACCAGTGACGTCACAACCAACGGCACACGTGTCAACAACGCCACTACCAGTGACGTCACGACTAACGACACAAGGTTCAACGACGCCACTACCAGTGACGTCACGACCAACGACACAAGAGTCAACGACGCAACTACCAGTGACGTCACAACCAACGCCACAAGAGTCAACGACCCAAGGACCAACAGGGCCAGTGCTTACTGTGTCAGCGCTAGATATAATCTGTAGAGCTATAATGCATTTTAACTGTCCGAGTACACCCGAACCAATATGTGGCAGTGACGGCAAGACATACCCAAACGAGTAAGAATTTTATCTACTGTAACTACATAACCGATATAATGCAGTCGCATAATGTGACAGTGAATATAAAGGCATCAATATGCAATTGCTACAAGTATGTTTTCAAATATTACCCCTGCAATGATGTCATTATTAAAAGATTTAAGCCTGGTGGTAGAAGCGGGGCATCACAAAACTGATTTATCATGCTCTTTTTGCATTGTCTCCCTCGAATCCTCTACTATATGTCACTTTTATAATCAATACTTTTAGGTCGGCCTTCAAATAATCCGCTGTATTTTGTTTCTGTACCAATACTTACTTTTTAATGACGCCTCTCAAATCATCGAGTCTTTCTTGAGATTTTGTTTTTGTTTATGACCTCCCTCGAATAACATGTCATATGTTGTCCCTATAAACACAACTACGTTTCTTTAACATCCTTCAAATCACCCATCTCCTTTCCTATATTTTCCCACTCTCATTTCGACCAGTTACCCCAACATGTTACCGACTGAAATTATTATGCCCATATCCTATCGATCCACAGATCCACAACCCACCCGTAACCCCCCAAGTTGAATTCAATGTCATGGTACCAGCTGTGCAAATCCTGTATGTGATCATTAACCCTTGGTGAAATCCTTGTCATGATACCAAGTTTCCCAATGCTTTATGGTGTTCTTTTCCTTTGTTGCAGATGTGAGTTTGAGAAAGCTAAATGCACACATAGAAATCTTCACGCTGCTAGCTTTGGGCCCTGTAACAAGTGATAAATAAACTGGTGTGACCCTTATATGTACTTAGGTTTATTAAATATATTTTGCGGATGACATTGTCATGTTTCTTTTGTATATTGGAACTACGGATCAGCAGTGGCGTAATCATCAGTGTCTGGCTGCAATGGACACTCAGCATTCTGTAATGGGACAAAATACCATGTACTCGACCCTGACATGAT